TACAATTACACTGAATTATTTTGTTCTATTAAATAAAGTTACAAAACTAATGACATCACATGCTGAAGAAAGTAACTACCCTCACTAATTCTCAGTAAATATTACCTACCTGACAGTTTTATACAAATTAATAGTATATGATTGAATAAATCCGATATTCTGACCAAAAATATTCTTAAACCTAGAAATTGTTAAGAAAATGCATAAAAGACTAGGATTAACACAACAGAAATGTGAAGCTGAAAACTGTGTTTTATCAGCCATTAAAGAAATATTTCTGCAGTGGATGCCCATCTCATGCAAACCTTTTTTTTTTCTGTTTGTTTGTGGAAAGTCAGATTTTTGGGTGCTGCATTTCTCCTGAAAAACTCGTTCAGGTTCTTTGAAGAAGCTAATTTTCTGGTGCTGTTACCCCTATGTCAAGCACAGATTCTCCATTAAATAGCAATATCTAAGCTATATTACACTGGGATGAACTTGAAACCAGGCAACAATTCTTGGATGTTTATTTAAAAAAGCAGTAATTGTTATGTTAGAAAAATCAAATAACTGACAGTTGCTGTGGTTAAATTTTATTAGTATCCTTGGGACCACAGCTAATTTAGGTAGAAAATGTACTGGATTTCCAAACACAGAGAAGACACCCAACAGTTTCTTTGTACTTGTGCAGTAAACCAATATCCTTTTTATTCCCTAGAGAAAAGGTATCAAAGATAAGACTACTCCAAAATTCTTCTCAATGTCCAAACTTCTGTAAGCTGAGCTCCCATTTCCCCAAGGAACAAACTTCCTCCATAAGTAAGTCAACTTCAGCTTTTCCTTGCCTTAACACTCAGCAGACTTTAAAGCACAGAACCCCCTTCTCCAGCCACTAGGTAAGGAATGTTATTGCATGGAATGCTATTCCATGGAGCAGGAGCCAACTTCTGTACCCCTTCTTGCTTGCTCCACTATTTCACTAGTATTGCCAGTACATCTGGAGCAACATTCAGATAACCATTCATGTTGTTATCGCTCAACAATGAAGCAGAGCAGCATACCTCCTCCAAACCTCCTCTTAAAGTGACCAAGGTCCTCATAGGGAACACAGGAGACCCTGAACTACCTAAAGGAAACCAGGAATGTAAATCCTTAATTCCTGACACCCTATGTAAACACCCTCACTGCTGATTTAAAGAATTCACCTCTATCCCACACCGTCTCCTCCTGGTGCTTCTTGAGTCAGTGTACATACACGACTAAATAATAACTATCTCAGTCATAACAACTGATCTAGGAGCCTGACTCCAGAGAGCAGAGTTACAGTGAATGAGACATTTATGCAAAATGTAGAAGAGACAGATTAAAATTCCTCTTCTCATTTACAATTATTTTTTAATATAATTTTCTTTTATTAATAAAAAGTGGAATGGCTTCAGTGCTGTATTATACTGGTAAGTCCCACGTTCCCGAAGGAGGAACTTGAACTTCAGTCTCTCACAGGAGATGACTGCTTCTGTCAAAAATCAGTATTTCCCACTGCAGAAAGTTTCAATAGATAAGTTATATCTGAACAAAACAACAAACCTGTGCATATTTATTTCATACCATATTATGTACCATTTTGTACTCTTTCCATACCAAATAGCTATCTTTTTTGGTGTCAAGTATCTTTATAATATGTATTTGTTTTATTTTAATTAAGCTTTTGTTAGTCTTACCGCTTTATCACATTTGCCTTTTTCATACTTGTTTTTCTAAAGTACATCTTTTCCTACCGTGTTTTAACATATTTACACATATCTGTCTCTCACACTGTATACTTTTCTCCCTCCTCTTTGTCCTACAATCTGTTCTCTATCTAGTTGCTTGTGTGTTCTCTTCTTTCATATTTCAAAATCTTTTATATTATCAGATTTGGATTCCTGAATTAACACATTAATCTTACCTCTTTACATAAAACCTTGTGAACTACTCCCAAACCTATTACACAAAAGACTGAATCTACACAACAGAGTTTGATATAAAAGACAGAAGGAGCAGTGTTATCTACAGGAACCACCTAGATGAAAAGAAAAAACACATTTCTAGCTACTCAAATTCCCACAGGGATGTTTCTCCTTGGATCTTTTCTTTCCAACGTGTATCAGCCCCAAGACACTAAGAAGCATGGTAAATTTTAAGCCTTTGCACTGCTCCCTTATTTCACACATGCTTTAAGAGAAAAGGTTATGTTTGTTCTGGGTTTTTTTGGTTGGCTTCCATTTTTTTTTTTTAGAAAGTGCTGTACCAGATAGAAACAGTTTATTTTCTTCCCTTAACTTCTCATTAGGAGAGAAGTATCAGTTCATCCTGCTCAATCCACTGCCTACTGATAATTCCAGCTTTTACAACCCTGTTTTCAGTTTTCACAAGAAGGGAACCGAAACTTGCTTGTGGTAGTCTCATAACTCTCCCGAGAAAAAAGCAATAGGGAAAAAGATATGACTTTGACCTAACTTACCTTCTGTTTGATTGTTTGTCAAGTTTTGTTTAAAGGAAATAAGAGGTGATATTTCTGAACTAGTTTCTGCACAACAGACATTTAAGCACCACTTTGGCATTTTCCTTTTTTTTTTTTTAATTAAAACCTAGTCTCTTAAGCTACCTGTATGTGTTTCACACTCACAACAGTTCAGGGGAATTTTCAAATCCTAGACAGTCTGTCAAGAAAAAAAAAACCCAGGTTCTCTTGTCATCAGCACTGCAATCTTATGCTTTGATAAGGTCTGCTGGTTTCATTCAGTGATGAGACCTGTTCTTAGAAGAAACATCGGAAGATCAGGGAAAGTAATTCCTTACTTCAAACTGGCAACACTGCATGAGGAGACATCACAATTTTCATTCAGGCCATTTATCGTTTAGGCCAGTTATTTTCATTTCATACCAGACAGAAGTGCCTAAATCAACTAGAGGACTGAATGCCAGAAAACCCAGAAAAGGATGCAATTTTTATTATTATTATTAACTAAAATTGGAGTCCTTTTACTCACTCTACTGTAATTTCCTGCATTTGGAAGAGCAATTTATATGATTTGCACATGAAGTAGACATAATATCAGTGTGTAACTATCTGTATTCTCCTTTTAGTCATAACATAATGATTCCAAATACCTTCAGTCAGGTTTGACATCCATAAAATACTGCCTTGTCTAACCAGATACACATCTAATTCCCATTACAGGGTACAAAAACCAGGAACACATTTAATATACTACAACTTAATATGATCTCATCTTAATTTTGCAAAAAAAACCCAAAACATTGCAAATAATATGTGTTCTAAACATGTAACACATTTACCAGAATTTTAAGATGCACAAAAAGGGATAGTTCATTTTACAGTAGCTGGAATTATTCAACTAAAAAGAACTATGAATTTAAAAACCACATTATGAGAGAGAAAGAAGTAAAATCATAAGAACACAAAGTCTGAGGTCCAATGAGATTGAATGATTGCATTTATTAAAAGATATTTTGTGATCAAACTCTTTGTTTTTTTTTCTTTTTTTTTTTATTTTAATAAATAGACAAGTATTCAAAATGCAGAAATATATAATCTGTTTTTAAGTATAATAACCATTTTAGGGAAGAGAGGTTTGAAAACTTTGTCACTCTGGCACAGTCATTGCACAAAATACGTAACAAAACAGGAATATGACCTATAACTCTCCTCTACTAGAAACACTCCTTCAAAGAGTATCTGTTAAGTTAAGGATCCCAGTTTTAAATACTCAACCTCTCATGTTAGCCAAGACATCCGCATCTCTAGGAAAGAATTAAAATGCAGGTGTGTAAGCATTGGTATAAGGATTTAAGTCGCGACTGCTCTTTGGTTTCTTGAGAAAACCTCTGGAATTTGCACTCTAGGAGTTAATTTCCTACCCTGGACCTACCATACACCCATATTGCACTCAGTAAACCTAAAGTATATTTTTTCTGCCTCTCAGTATTAACTTAAAATGAACAAAAACTTTGTATCAGAAGAAGGCAAGCATCACTTTCACAAGACTAGGTTTCTTTTTCACACAAAGTGTAGTCTGGTGGTTTTTTAGTGGACTAAAGCAAACAAAAATATTTTAATGGTTTAATGTTTGAACAATTTTTCTTTCTTTGCTTTATTAAAAAAAACATGTTTGAAGAGAACCATTTTCTATACTGAATACTTTAAAGCCAACTGCAAAGAATTAAACTTCATTTTGCAAAATGTGTAACAATCAGTGACAGCACTGACATGTAGAGCAGAACATTAGCTTAACTTGGTAAATATAATAGAAAGTTTTAAATAAGATTTTCTTATGTTTACTGCTTTAAGTTTCATTTAGCACAATGCAAGAGACAATTACACCTATGAAGTTCCAGTGTTAAAACACGTTACACAAATTGTGCATTGTCACTCACACAGATGTAAATGTAACAAAATAGTGTCCATCAAATGTAAATGTTTTTTACTGTCAAGTACTGATAGGTGAATCAGTATTCAGTGCAAAACTGAAAAAGACTGTGCCTCTAATAAATTCAGTACAAGCCTAGCAAAAAAGCCTGCTGTTATCATGAAAGCTCATGTTATCATGAGATTACAACAGACGTTGAGTGAGAATACGTACAAATTTAATGAAATGTAAAAGAAAACACTTCAAATCATAACAAATTTCTGTAGTGCTTTCTATTGCATCTCATCGCCTGCTAAGGGCTCTTGTCATGTTAGCTGCCATATTAAACTACATGGCAGCACTGCCACAGCAACATGACACACAACTAAATTTTTGTTTTTACTGTAAGAGAGAAACTTGGTTCCTTTAGAACAAAGTCCTGAAAAAAACCAAACAAGCATTCCCATCATAAATAAAATGGTTTCATAGAGAAATACCGAACACTGATCCACAAATTAAAACATTGCAGATTTAGAGCTCTTCACATACAGGAAGACACACACATATGTGTATGAACACACAACCATACACACATGTAATTTCACTTACCTCAGCAGCTCTCTTTATATATGGCATCTGTGTGCCGCTGTCCAGGTCTTTGTTAATTATAAGCCTCCTGGCCCACTGACCTGCTCTGACAACACCGTTACCATGAATCAGGACCAAGAGCTTGTCAGGATTTGTCAACGCATCTTCACTCATAAAGATAAAACTCTTTGGTTCACTCTCTGTTGCATCAACCTGCAATTAAAGATCACACAAACTTACATCAATAAAATGCACAAAAATGCACCATTAAAATTTTTAAAAGTACACCTGTAAAGTTAGTTTCCTAATTGAGATGAAAACCTTCACCATTTGACAACTATTTGCATGCATATTACAAGTACTAATGTGTGCAGAGTACTAAACAAAAATAAAGCATAAGCTAGTATCTGTGGAATCTAACTTCAAAACATGAAAATGTACCACAGTCTAGAAGAGTAGTGCAACTGAGACTTCAATCAAAAAAAAAGGGGTAAGAAGTATGCAAAAGCTTTGAAACATCAATTTTTACAGGAATGTATTGGTAAAAAAGAAAGTCCATAAAAGAACAATTGAGCAGGGGCTGTCAAGTAATTTATCACTTCTGATATGCCTGAAGCAACAATAAAATTCTTCCATAATACAAAAAAATTCTTGGAGACTTCCATCTCAGCCACGTCAACATAAATACCCAGTAAGCTGCATAGTAACCAGTATCACAAATTTGTCTATTATAAATTTAATAGGACAGGCCTAATAAAATACAGAAATGCAATTTAGGTCTAAATAATGGCTTCATTAAGAGTTCTGCACTGGGTCAATGATTAGCTATTTTGCTGCATTAACAGACTAACAACCAGCTCTGATATCCAGTAAACCACAATCTAATTCCAACGTTTATTCTTAACTCAAGAGAGTAAAGCAGCACTTTTTGCTCAATACAAACAGAAATTCTAGACAGTTAAACACTTGGTTTAGCAAGCCTGGGTCAAGGCAAAAGGACTGTGCTGGTAGAAACACCATGACTGCTGAAAAAACATTCTGTCTACTCATTCCTCCCTTTCTACCATATGAATACAGAAAAAAGGAAGGATACAAAAGGCAATCTCGCCCTCCTACTGTACTCCTCCCCCTAACAGAGTAACTGTACAGCAGCTAGGAACAAACCTGAATTGTCTAACACTCCTCAGCAGCATAGAAAGTCAGGCCAGGATATAAACTTTACATTGACGCAGGAGACATGGTTATTTGGATTATCTTATTTTTTTCTCTGATACGCCTACCATATGAAGACAGGCTGAGAAAGTTGGGGCTGTTCAGCCTGGAGAAGAGAAGGCTGCATGGAGACCTCATAGCAGCCTTCCAGTATCTGAAGGGGGCCTATAGGGGTGCTGGAGAGGGACTCTTCATTAGGGACTGTACTGATAGGACAAGGGGTAACAGGTTAAATCTTAAACAGGGGAAATTTAGATTGGATATAAGGAGGAAATCTTTTCCTGTTAGGGTGGTGAGGCACTGGAATACGTTGCCCAGGGAGGTTGTGAATGCTCCATCCCTGGCAGTGTGGCCACGTTGGACAGTCTAGGGTTTACTGTGAGGTGTCCCTGCCCATGGCAAGGGGGTTGGAACTTGATGACCTTAACATCCTTTCCAACCCTACCTATTCTATGAGTCTATGATTTTATGATTCTGTTCTTAATTACCCTTACTTAGGAAAAATTAATTATTCATGAACCTCTATACTTTTTTTTTTAATGCAAATCCTACCAAGTATATTTTTCAGCACAAGTACAGGCTCAATGGAGACTGGATAGAGCAGCCACAGGGAGAAGCTGGAGAGAAGCTCTGGACAAGGGCCTGCAGGGACAGGACAAGGGGGAATGGCTTTAACCTGACAGAGGGGAGACTGAGATGAGATCTCAGGCAGAAGTTCTTCCCTGTGAGGGCGCTGAGGCCCTGGCACAGGTTGCCAGAGAAGCTGTGGCTGCCCCATCCCTGGCAGTGTTCAAGGGCAGGTTGGACGGGGCTTGGAGCAACCTGGTCTAGTGGAAGACATCCCTGCCCATGGCAGGGGAGCTGGAACTGGATGAGCTTTAAGGTCCCTTCCAACCCAAACCAGTCTGTGATTTTTATGACTAAGTCAATAAGACTACTTGAGCAAAACAAGTTCCTACCTGGAAGAACGGTCATGTCTGTCTTCAACATCTGCTGTAACACTAAAGACTTTATTCCCTGACACAAAATGATGATAACGTCTCCTGTGCCTCAGCTTATATGCTCTACACCAGGAAATGAACTCAATACTTTGTGAGAAGATAAAATCATGGTAAAAAATATGCCCTCTTGAAAGGAGTTCAGAGGATGTAAGTACAGGTATCATACTGGGGCAATGGTCAGATCACACTGCCACTTCTGAAGTGGCAGTATTGATACTTAAAACTTAAATTGGCTTAGGTAAAACATCAGACAACACTAAATCTCACAACAGTACTTGGCAAGACATAACTGACTTTTGAACACAAACTTAATACCTATGATAATGTACTTAAGAAAAACATCGCAAATTTGTATTTCAGTCAAACATACAACTTAGCTGTACGCTTTAGTATTTCTAAACTAATTTCTTGTTTTGCAATCGTATGTAAAAGACATAACTAGTTCACAATTCTGCTGTCCTGGGTTCAGCAGTAGCAGTCATTTTTACCCTTCTTAGTAGCTGGTGCAGTGCTGTGTTTTTGACCTTCAGCCTGGGAACAGTGCTGATAACACAGATGTTTTTAGTTGCTGCTTAGTAATGTTTAGTCTGACCAAGGACTTTGTGAGTCTCATACTCTGCCAGGGAGGAGGGGAAGCTGGGAGGAAGCAGAGACAGGACACCTGACCCAAACTAACCAAAGAGGTATTCCATACCACAGCATGTCATGCCCACTATATAAACTATATACCCAGAAGGGACAGATCGCTGCTGGGATTGGGCTGGGTATCGATTGGTGGGTGGTGAACGGTTGTATTCTCTCCCCTTGTTATTTCCCTTATCATTATTATTATTGGTGGTAGCAGTAGTGGTTTGTGTTATACCTTAGTTACTGGATTGCTCTTATCTCAACCCGTGGGAGTTACATTCTTTTGATTCTCCTCCCCATCCCTCTGGGAGCAAGGGGGACGAAGAGGGGGGGAGTGAGAGGGGGACTGCATGGCTGACTGAGTTTAAACCACGACATCTGCAAAAACATTAATTTATAAAGAGTTAAAAATATTTACCAACATCATAAGAAACAACTCTTCATACTCTTCCTCAAATTAATCACATTTGGAAACTTCAAGCTAATTTATCTTCAAACAGTAGTAGTTCATTAGATCAAGCTTTCAATAAAGAAAGCACACAGAAATCACTCCTCTGTACAACCCTACTTTATTGACAAATCAATGTAGAATACCATTCAGTGTTAGACACACTGAGTCTGCATAAAGTAATTTGCATTTATCAGCCAATTTCTCTTCTGACCTACTCATAAACATTTCCTTCTGACCCCTTATTTAAACAGAAATTCAACAAATCCAGAAAAGTTTTGAACTTCAATTAGTTTAATGTAACACTTTGATTCAACATCTTTATTCACATGCAGTAACAATCTTCCAATAATCTGTAGCTGGGTATGTTGAACCAACCTAAACACTGCTAATAACCTGATGTTCAGAAGTACTGTTTAAAGTTTAAATTTCCTTTTCTCATATCTGTTTCTCCAATGCACAACTATACCTTCAGGTTTACAAATGTATGCAGTTGCAGTGAATTCTCTGAGTTACATACTCTACATATATTTATGACTTCTTACAGTTTTCAAACAGTGAATTTTTCCATGAGTTCTGTCTCAAATGAGCTATCACCTAATACTGCAGTAGCTCTCTACAGAGTATTTCAGCAGTACGGTAGTTAGCATTTTGCACAGCTATCAATATATAGGGTAAGATCAAACTATACCTGAAATCTACCCTTACTGACATTCATGCTAACACATTGACAATGACTCAGTTTTCATTTCTCAGCCATCATCAACCCAAGATGCATGAGACTTGACTAGGCTCTAGGCGTCTTTTATCTGTACACTGAAGTTTTTAAGATTGAACGTTCATCCTGGGTTCAGCAGTAGCAGTTGTTTTTTCTCCTTCTTAGTATCTGATGCAGTGCTGTGTCAAGACTGCACTGGAACAGGGGCAAGCTCCAGAACACCTGCAATACATTAATGACATTATTGTGTGTGGTGATACAGCGGAAGAAGTCTTTGAGAAAGGGAGGAAAATAATCAAATCCTGCTGAAAGTCGGTTTTGCCATAAAATGGAGTAAGGTCAAGGGACCTGCACAGGAGATTCAATTTTTGGGAATAAAATGGCAAGATGGACGTAGACAGATCCCCACAGATGTGATCAACAAGATAACAGCAATGTCTCCACCAACTAAAAAGAAGGAAACACAAGCTTTCTTGGGTGCTGTGTGGTTCTGGAGAATGCACATCCCAAATTACAGTTCAATTGTAAGACTTCTCTATCATGAGACCCGGAAGAAAAATGATTTTAAATGGGGTCCTGAACAACAACAAACCTTTGAGCAAATTAAACAAGAGAGTTCATGCAGTGGCCCTTGGACCAGTCCGGACCTGGCCAGATGTAAAAAAATGTATTCTACACCGCAGGTGAGGAGAATGGTCCTACCTGGAGCCTCTGGCACAAAGCTCCAGGGGAGACTCAAGGTCGACCCCTTGGCTTTTGGAGTTGGGGATACAAAGGATCTGAGGCCAGCTATACCCCAACTGAGAAAGAGATACTGGCAGCCTATGAAGGGGTTCGAGCTGCTTCGGAAGTGATTGGCACTGAAGCACAGCTCCTCCTGGCACCCCATTTCCTGTGCTGGGCTGGATGTTCAAAGTCAGGGTCTTCTCTACACATCATGCAATCGATGCTACACGGAGTAAGCGGGCTGCACTAATTACACAACGAGCTTGAACAGGAAATCCCAGTCATCCAGGAATTCTTAAAGTCATCATGGACTGGCCAGAGGGCAAAGATTTTGGAATGTCACAAGAGGAGAAGGTGATGAGTGCTGAAGAGGCCCCACCATATAATAAACCGTCAGGAAGTAAAAAGCAATATGCCTTGTTTACTGATGGGTCCTGCCATACTGTGAGAAAGCATCGGAGATGGAAGGCAGCTGTATGGA